TCAACCATTTTGAATAATATTGCATGAGTTCCTTGTTTTTTAATGCAGCATAGTATTCCATTGTGCGAATATACCACAGCTTCTCTAGCCATTCGTTCATCCCTTTTGGTCTTTGCACTTTGCTTCTGTAGTGGCCTTTGGCTTTCTTCCTAGATGACAGTCTTGATATTATCCCACAGTTCATCTGGTCTTCAAGCATTAGTGTTCAATGTGTCAATGCTAATCTTAAGATGACTTCGGAATTCAGGTGGGATAGACTAAAGGTTGTAGTTTGGCTCTTATACATTTGCTTTAATTTTCTTCAGCTTCAACTTGTACATGAGTAACTAAAGGTCTGTTTCACAGTCAGCCCCTGGCTTGTTTTGATTGACTGCTGATAATGAGCTTCTCTAGCTACTCTTTCCACAGATATAGCAAATCTTGATTCCTGTGTAATCATGTGAATAATCACTATTTACTTTTTTTAAAAAATGTAAATTATTGACTATACAAAAATTTATCACTTTACCTCCAGCCTCAATTCTGTCAGAAGTTCATATTTTCCAACTACCAATCTTTTGTCTATGTTTCTAACATTTGCATTCCAGCCACCAATTATTATCAATAAATCTTGTTTAGTTTACTCAAATTTAGACTGTAAGAGTTGGTGGAAGCCCTTGTTTTATCATGTTTGGCTTTAGTGGCTGGCACATAGATGTCAGTAATAGTTATATTAGCAGGCTTGCTGGTATGCATATGGAGAGTGTCCTGTTACAGACCTGCATTTTAGGAGACATCCTAGTATGTTCCTTTTTGACTATAAATGCAACATAATTCTCTTGTTAGTCCTGCCATAAGAGATCATATAATTGTCTGATTCAAAGTGGCTGGTACCAGTCCATCTAAACTCACTAATGCCTCGGATGTTGATCTGTCTGCTTTCCATTTCCTTATTGACAATTTCAAATGTTCCTAGATTCATATTTTGCATATTCCATCTTCCAAATATTACATGGATGTTTACAGTTGTTTCTTCTCACTTTTTTGAGTGTCCTCCAATCTGAGAGACTCTACTTCTGGTACTACCTCAAACAATGTGCTGTGTTATTCACAGAGTTTTTGAAGGCCTGTGATTTCAGAAGTGAATGACCAATCTTGCCTCTGAGTCTGAAGCTACCATCGGCAACTTTGCTGGTATTTGAAATACTAGTGGACAGCTGCCAGCAACAATCACACCAGTACAGCAGACCAACAGACAAGTACTATACCCATAAAACTACAAACAAGCAAACATTTGCAAACTATAAAACAGAATCACAGCAGCACACAAGTTACCACCCACAATCCAGCAAAGTGACGTGCTGCACCCATGAGAGAAAATGATAAAACAAGCAAGCATACAAATATTTAAAAAACAAACATGCATGTTATGGGAAATTTAAAAAAATAGCTACTGTATTAGATACAACACTTACACACAGAGAGATCAGGCCATAGGCATATCTTGGGGATACTGTGGGTTAGGTTAAAGACTACAACAATAAAGTGACTTACACAAATTGTTTGCTTGTCAGTGCATAGAAAGTTAGATATTTATACTGTATTATAGTCTATTAAGTGTGCATTGTGGCAAAGTGTGAAATGCTGTCACAATGATCAAATGTGACACAGAGACACATGATTCTGGAAAAATGGTCCTCAAAGATTTGCTCAATGCAGATTGCCACAAATCTCAGATTTGCAAAAACTGCAAATATGTGTGAAGTTCAAGAAAACATGTGTTGTGTGAAAGACAGAAAGCACATGGACATTAGGGTTCAGCAGAATTCTTGCCTTCCACACACAGCAACTGGAGGCAATTTCCAGCCAGTGTACTTTACTCACAGCCTCCTTCTATCTAATTCTGGAGGTGTGCATGTTCTAGGATGTTAAACGTGTTTTAGTGGAGTTCCAGACTTACATGGACTTGGAGTAAAGACCTTTAAAGGTCAGCTACTTTGAAAAGTCAGCCAATGAGAACCTTATGACTCACAACTGTCTGATTATGTTACTCATGGGGTTGTAATGACTTAGGGTTAATTTGATGGCAGCTAACAACAATTATCTGACACAATACATGTTACAGAGGCTGCCTCCCCCAGCAACAAACATCCACAGGGACGAATAACTGTTATCCTTTTAAAAAAATTGTTCATGGAGGTTTAAGAAAGCTTCTTGAGACCACACAGTTATCAGGGAGGAAAGCCAGAAGTGTGACCAAGCAGCTTAACTCAAGAGCCTATGCTCTGCAGCGCATCCCAGTGCTGTCTCCACCATGAACTGAGGAGGGTGGCAGCATGGGCAGGTCAGCGCCCGGCCCAGGGCCTCTGGGATGTGAGTTCTCACTGGTGGTCAGGACTCTCAAGTCAGGCACCAACCACTGCGGGGGAGTCAAGGCTCTATTAACTGCTCAGAACAGGAGATACAGGCAGGTCAACAGCTGGGTGCAACTCCCACTTTGCCTTCACCGAGTTTAAAATCTACTTGGGGGGAACTGAATAAAGATGTGAAAAAAGGAAAAAGAACAAAGTTGGGGGGGGTGTCTATCAGTAAGATTCCAGTGTGTGGCTGAGGCCACACATACAAGCTGAGGGGATGGAGAGACAAAGGGGCAGAGTGGAGAGGCCAGGAACATACACAGGTGAATGAGACACTGAGGCAGCCCCAGGTCATACCGTGATGTCGTGGTACAGCGACTTGCCATACAGTCTCTTATACTCTGCTCTGATGTCCAGGAGGTCAATTTCGCTTCGAGATACCATGATGCGAATCAGGGTCCGATCCTTTGTTCCTGCTCCCTAAAGAGAATCCACGTGAGACTATGAGCAACAGTCTTCCTTCCTCCCCACCACTCTGCACTCTAGTCCCCTCATGTATCCCCCTCTGAGCAGTCAGACTTCTGAGCTAGAGGTGAAGTTTACCCCAGGTGGGCAAGACCACCTCTTTACCACCCCCGGGCCTTCTGCATGTGGGTCTACATACCCTCATGGCCTTGTTGAGCCTTTCAGCAAAGAAAGCTGGAGTATTCTTGAGACATTTCACTAGAAGAGAGAAATAATATGTAAGTTGATATACAGAATTCTCAGTGCTGGAGACACAGAGCATAACAATGTCCTCTTACGAGGCCCAGTGGACAAATCCATCACTGCAGAGAGCTCTCTCAGTCCTTCTGGGCCCAGCATCCCATGAGCTTGGCTCCAGTTGGAATTAAAACACACTAACTCTTTCTTAGCAACTAATGTGGTGGAAGGAAGTGGGGCTAGGGGTTATGTGGTGCCTGGAGCTGCAAACAAAGATGTGAGGTGAGGGAAAAGGGGCTCCCGAAAGTCCTCTGTCAGCATGAAGGGTGTGGAGGGAAAGAGGAGCATTTGCCTGTGTCCCATCCAGAAAATGCCAAGAAAGGCAAAGGAAAAATGGGGAAAGTCTATAAAGCTATGCTATGAGGGCTGCAGAAGAGGGGACCAGCAGCTAGGAGGGCTGGGCACTGTTGGATGCCCTTCCATCCTGCGAAACTACGTCAGCTCCTCTGTTTTGCTGTTACCAGTAAAAATCCTTCCATGTGTTTCCAATACAAGCATCTGACACTGCCTGCAGGGGTGGGGTGTATTTTTAGAGGAAACAGCAGGATCTGAGTCATCTTCCTCTGGGAGAGAACCTGGAAACTCTCCCATAAACATCCATACTGCAACTACCTTCCCCAGAACCCAGCCTGAGATGTAAGCAGGATATCCCTGGCAGGTGAGGGCATCACCCCTGCAGTGGTCCTGAGGACTGTGAACTCCACCAAGCAGCCTTCTGGAAGCCCCTCAGACCCCCAGTCTGTTCACTGTGCCACCTCTCAGCTGGAGAAGCTGAACCCTCCAGAAACCTACAGTGAGCACTCACCCAGGGAGCAGGACACCTACCCACGGCCAGCATGCCCTGTTCCAGGTCCCCAGACATCTCCCGACAGATGCTTTTCTCAATGTCCCGACCTGTCATGCGTTGATACTCATTGAACACTGAAAGGAAACATGAGAGAATGGTGAGAGTTTCCCACTCTGAGCCTGCAAATGCCATATGCCCCTCCCTAGAAATCCCTCTCCTACTCAACTCCTGGTGCCTCAGGCAGATCCTCCGTCACACCAACCCAGGCCTCTAAACCCTGCACCCAGTAAAGCATATGCACCCCACTCCTCAACTATACCTTGTTCATGCTTTCATCATTCCACCCGCTTCCTCCTCAATCCCCTACTCCAATGCACTCTCCTCTTCCCAACCCCCTGTGACTCCCCTCCCAGCCCTTCTGCCATTCATATCAGTCTCCTCCTCACTCTGGGAAGCAGCTGCTCCCTGCTGTCTCCCAGGAATTATAGACTACATGGATAGGGATTACTCCAGGGATTATTAGACATCTCCGACCAGGCCTGGCCCACACCTGGTGAATGACCAAGCAAGTATATACATTTTTTAAAAGTCCAACTCATGGCAACTCCAAGAGTATCAGATTAGAAAACATATTCCAGAAGTTTTCCAATGGCTGATTTTCATTAGATCACCAGGCCTTTCTTCCTAGGTACCTTGCAGTGGATTTATTTTGGTTGGCAGTTGAGCACCTTAGCTGTTTGTACTGCCATTCACAGACTCCTTTATTACAATTCTTCCTTACTTCACACTTAGGGGATTCAATGCTCCCAGGAGGTTCTCCAAACTCTACCAGCCAACACCTCCCTCACCTCTTCCTTTGCTTCCTCCAGAAAGGCATGCTTGGGGAAGGTCAGGAAAATCCTGATTATATGAACTTTTAAATCGCCACCAGGGGGCTATTTGGGGATTTGAAAGAGCCAGGCAGAGTAACTAAGTCACTGCTATCAAGTTGGAACTGACTCAAAGCTGACCATTGGCAGGTTTTCAGAGCTTGTAAATTGCATGGAAGGAAGATCTTTCTTCCAAGCAACAACTGCTGGATTTGATCCGTCTGCCTGAGAGCTGGCAGCGTATTTCCTTACCCACCAGGTCACCAGAGCTCCCTCCATGCACAGCACAAAGGACAAAAATGTTCCTGTCAAGTTCAGCTTCTCCACAATACCTCTTCTATTCTCATTTAACCAGTCTGGTGGCTTTAGTGTTAAGGAATTATGTTGCTAATCTAAAGGCATATGGTTCAAAACCACTAGCTGCTACATGGAAGAAAGATGGGCAGTCTCCTTCCTTGCAATTTATTGCCTCTGAAACTCACTGAAGGGTCAGCTATGAGTCCGTTTTGACTCGATGGTACATAACACTCTGTAGTGAAGGAGCTCTGGTGGCTTGGTAGGTAAGGAGTTTTGCCACCAATCCAAAGGCATATGGTTCAAATCCACTAGTGGCTCCATAGGAGAAAAGTGGGCAATCTCCTCCCATGAAGTTTACAGCTCTGAAAATCTACTAAAATGTCATACCAAGCTATGAGTTGATTCTGACTCAAAGGTACATAATAGAACAACAACAATATAGTTGTAGAAAGTTGCGCTATTAACTTAAATGGAGAACCTTCTGCAGGTGAATGTTTCTCATCCACCACCTGCTCTGGCTCAGAAAGATGGGCAGTCTCTTTCCTCTGTGATTTAGAGCCTTCTGAAAATGCACTGGAGGGTCAGCTCTGAGTTGGTTTCAATTCAATATCAGTAAGTTTGAGTTCTGAGTTATTATCTATCTACCTGGGACTGCCTTACCTGCCACCAGGTGGGCCCGGCTGCGGGAGCACAGAACTGCATTGAACTTGGACTCATCTGTTCCCAGGCGGTTCTCCCCGGCCGCATACAGCTCCTGGAAAGAAAGTAAACAGGCATGTAGGAAGGCCCTGCCCCATATACTTGGCCCAGGTCATTCATCAAGGGAAATTCTGCAAACAGTCTCATGGTCCTGCAGGTCTGGTGGAAGGCAATACCCTGACCAGGGAGGGTAGGGGTGAGGGCAGGCTGTGTTTGCTGGGGTCCTGCTGTGTGATTTTCGCAGTGCAAACTAGACACAAGATCCTGAGGCTGGGAGAGAGCTCTGGACCAGGAGAACCAAGATACCATTAGGTGCCCAGATCAGGCAAGAAACAGTCAAACTCAACCCACTGGGCAGTGCCACATGGAAGAAAAAAGAACCAGTCTTGGATATGAGCAAAGGAGCAATTATGGGTATGCTGGAGCCACTGGACAGGCCAGCCCCATTCTACCATGGGTGTGTCTCCAGCTGAGCACTGTGCATCCAGTTCATTAGGAAATCTAAACTCCAGAGATGGGACAAGCCAGTTGGGACTTTCCCCTTTTTGTCTGAAATTCACAGCAGTCTGGAGACAAGGGTAAAATTCTCAAGCCACACCACTAGTATACAAAGCTACGCCTTCACAAACATGCTAGTGTTTGCTAGTAAATGTAGGGAAATCCCACACCCACAACTGGACTCCATCAACCATTGAAATATGCAGCATCTCACAAGTTTCCTCTTACAAGTAGGGAAACTGAGGCCCACTGAGGGCAGTGGTTCAAGGTCACAGTCAACAAGCAGCAGAGCAGGGCTGACGCAGATCATGTCCAATACAGCAAGAAAGCAGGGGCACCAAGTAGCTGAGACGGCCCCGGTGGGTGCTGCCACTCACCTGGACATCACTCTGGACAAGTGACAAGTCCACATTTGTGCTCTCATCCCGGTTTCCCTGAAAGGAAGCAGGCTGCATGGTCAGGCCCACTCCTCACGGCACCCGCTCCTTCCTCACTGCTCTCCCTGCCTGAGCCCCAAGCCCTAGGGTGGGAGGCACCTGGGACAGAGAGATGAGGAGCCGCTGGAAGTGCCCAGATGTGTCGCTCCGGATGGCCTCCTCCAGGGTCTTCTTGAATTCTAAACAAGAGAGAAACAGGGATGGTCCAGCCTGCAACCCAGGATGAAGCTGGCCAATGCAGGTGGTCCTCAGAGTGCACAAGGGACAGTGAGACCCAAAGGGCCTGTGACCTTCACATAGGCCTGGCCTTTGAAGGGCTTGGCCAATCTACAATCAAGAGGCTTTCACAGCCCTCTCTGTCCTTAGTTACCTGCCCTGTGCGTAAACAGCAGTGAACTCTAGATCTTCAGTCAAAGTTCAGTCAATGTACTGGATGGTGGCATGAAATGGTTGATATGGCCAGGAAAGGGCAAGAGGCCTGGGCAGGTGTGTGGCTGGGCCCAGAAAGCAAAGATCTTCAGAGCACAGCATGGTGTGGCCAGAGGCACTTTACCTGTTTTGTAGGCTCTGCTCAGCTCCCGGATGTGCTCGTTGTTGCGGGAGGCCAGGATTTCAATCAGACAGGCTTCATCAGTGCCAGCTCCCTGCAAGAGCGGACAACACCTAACCACATGCTTACAGAACTCCTAACAGCACCCAAGAAAGATGGTGAGTGTCAGGCCACTGCCCTGACCATTGGGACACCAAGTACAAAAGACACCCCAAGGTGGATCCCACAGCTCAGGCCAGGCAGGCCCAGATCATGATAGTGACAAGCATTATAATCAGGAGTCACCTATAAAGGAACTGGGATGAGAATAAGGGAGCAGTGACTTGGCTGAGGTTACACTGTGTGCAGACAGCTTTGAAGAGGGACTCAGGGCTATTTAGTCCAGATTTAGCCCATGATTGAGAGGAGCTGAGAACTCAGAAGAGATCAGAATAAAGTCCCTGAGTATCGTAAATGGTTACACACTCAACTACTAGTTGAAAGGTTAATGGTTCAAATCTACCAAGTGCATGGTGCCTCAGAAGACAGGCCTATAACTTACTTCCAAAAAGTTACACCCGTGAAACCCTGACGATCAGTTCTGCCCTGCACACAAGGCCAGCATGTGTCGGTATTGAGCTAGCAGTAACAACAGACAAGAGAGTGGCTCATTTGTAGACAACCAGGAAAAGTCAGTACCAGTAAGGATAAGATAGCAGTGAGGAGAAAGGGACAAGGCCAGCATCCAGGCTTCCATGTTGACATGAATCATGGGTCTGCTGCCTACTAGTTTCAGAACCTTGAGTGTGCTACATAACTTGCTTGTGTCTGTTTCCTTGTCTGTATAATGGAGATGGCATTAGTACCCACCACAGGAAAGTCATGAGGATGACACCAGTAAACACTTAGAAGAACGCCTGCCACAGGAATACTAACACAGTTAGCTAGCTTTGGAGGACTGTTTCTGCTATGGGTCTTGGGAACTATATGGACACCCTGGAATTATGTGTCCCCATTCTGGTAATAACTGATTAGACTTGAAGAGAGAGTGAGGACAAGCAGTGCCAATCTGCCCTCTATTTGAAATCTGGCTGAGGAAGAGCCCTTTGAGGGCTCAGGCCTCAGAGTGATAAACAGAGAAGCTGATAGGCATCCCCCTCCAGGCAAGCCCAGAAAGGGGACTGTGGGAGGTTTATCTTTCAACATGACTTTTGCTAGCCATCTGAATCTGGCCTGACTATATGGATGGGACATGTTGGTCTAACCACAAGGGAATTAGCCAGTCTCAACAATCTATAAGGGGAATGGCTAGTCTCGCCAATATATTGCAGAATTAGATCTTCTGGCACCACCGAAGAAGCAGCAAGAAAATGCAGGATGCCCTTTTTTGCTCCAACTACATCTATGGCAGCAACAGCCATGGCCAAACTGGAGACTGGCATGAGATGGAACCTTGGTGGTAGAAAGCCAATACTGGCAGGACTGAGAACTATGTTTGACAACTGAGGGTGAGAAGCTAATATTGGCAGGACTGAGAACTTTGGACATTGGTCTAAACTTGGCTGAGGTACTTGCATGCATATTTCAGAGCTATCATGACTGTATTCTGTTATTAAGCTGGATTATAACCTTTTAAAACTTTCCCAATATGGTTCTGTGTAGTCTGTGAGCTATTGCATCAGATTTGGGACCCAATAAAGCAGTAAGGTTGGCGTTGAGGTGAGTAGAAAGAGGCATGGGAATGCAGGGGACATGTGTGACTTCATAGGAATTTGGTTTTGTGTTACTGATGCTGTTGAGTGGGATAGTTCCCCTAGGTGAAATTGGTAATGTCAGACATGGCCATCCCAATGTAGCCTTTTACAAGGGCATAGAAACTGAGAGAATGAAATGGATATTCAAGAAAAAGCCAAGATTAAGAAGCAAGCTGGCCCAGATGCCAGCCTTTCTCTCCCTGGGCCCAGTCTCTCTTGCTCTATTTATCTTCCTAACCATCTTCTGTGTGCTGAGTATGCTCCTCAAGTTTTTCTGTTAGTTGGTAAGAAGAGAGTTCCAAAGACTCAGAATGAGGCTACCTATTTCAGTACCTCACTTCACTTATCACCATAGCCCTAGCCCCTGACATTATTTTGAGATGGAGAAAGACTTAGATGCCTAGGAAATAACCAGATGTTCACCTGTGAATTCACGGACAGACACATGTACACACCTTGATGGCTTCCTTTATCTCGTACACATCAAAGAGGATTGGGGTCTTCATCATAGCCAGGATAGTCTTCTCAAAGTTTCCTGACAGTTCAGATTTCAGATCTTTAATCAAATCCTGATCAGGTATTAAACAAACAAAACCCATTTTAAGAATCCACAGAAAGTGTTTAGAAAGAACAATATCCAGATCCCAGTTACTGGAAGAACAGCCCAAGGACCAGAAGCATCAGCAGCACCTGGAAGCCTAGTAGGAAAGCCCAATCCCAGACCCCACCTTGTATCTGCTCAGTCTATATTTAATAGGCTGCTGGGGGTCGGGGGTGGGGGAAGGCTGCAGCACACCAAAGTCTGAGATGCACTGAGCTAGAACACTGGCCTCGCTGATACCCATCTAGTTTTTAAGTTCCTAGATCAAAAAAATTTCGAAGATCAAAATAATCCCTCCTTGCATTTGCTTAATACTTGAAGCTTTTCCCTTCAAAGGTCTTAATAGCTATGCTTCCTCAGGTGATTGTGATAAGGGTTGGTTTGATGAGTGGAAGATGGATTGGGAGGGGAATGACTTGTTCATGGTCTTGGCATATCGTGGCAGAGCCAGAGTAGAACCTAGACTCCTGGCATCTCTCACTCAGCCTGAGCACTATGTGGACACTGGGACTTTTCCCTCAGGACAGTCTGCAAGTCTGCCGGGGGTGCAGGTGGGAGATGCAGAGGTGCCCCAGCTGGGAGGTCACTGGGGGGGGGGCGGGTAATAGGGAAGGGAACACAGCACTCCTCAGCCCACTCAGGAGAACCAGGCCATGGTGCCCATGGGGAGGCTGTGCTGAGGTGGCCCTAGGCTGTGCCTGGCATGTCCCACTCACCTTCCCGTATGCAGTCTTGAAGGACAGGAGGATCTGCTGCCGCTGCTTATTGGAGCGACTCCCCAGACAGTCAATGATGGCCTGCTCATCGGTTCCTGGAAGAGAAGTCAGAGGGAGCCAGTCTTCAGCCACAGGAAGCTCATCAACCACACTGTCCCCACTCAGGTCCTCTAATCCTCCCAGACATCCCAAGGCCACCTTCTCCTCTACTGCCTCCAGGTCCAGGTATGCCACTGGCAGCTATCCCAGCCCATCAGGCCAAAATCTTGGGGACTAGGTTGGGATGATATGAGTTTCCCGAGTCTCTTACCAAAGCCTTTCATGGCCTTCCGCAGAACCTCGGCATCGCGCATGGGGTCAAAGCAGGAAGCATCTGTGATGGTGCCTCGGTTCCCAAACTGAGTGGATAAACAAACACAGGTAAGACACGTCTGTGTCTCCCAGACAGAGGACTGCTCTGGCCCAGATTCTAGGAACTCACAGTCAGCAGGGAGGAAGACTACACTCAGTCAGCCTGGTTGGCCATACCTGTCCTTAGGGTCCAGGGCGGAAGCATGACTAGGGGCCCACCTGAGGCTGTTGTGACCCTGAGGACCTGCTCTCGCCAAGGCCCTGCCTCCAGTTCTAGAGGACTTCAGCCTTTGGGTTGAGTATGAGTCCCAGATAATGGGCAGGCCTCAGGAGCAGGGGCCACAGCTACCCAGACCCCTCACCACTGTGGCTTAAACATACTTCAAACTCAAATAGATTGCTGTCAAAGTCAGAACTGACTCAGTGGACCCTTCAGCAGGTTTTCAGGGGCTTTAAATCATACAGGAGATTGCCCATCTTTCTCCCTAAGAGCTGCTGGTGGTTTTGAACAGCCAGAGAGGCGTCACCTTTGGGTTACAAGTGCAGCTCCCTATGGACTAGGCTATCAGAGCTCCCCAAACACGTCAGGATCTTCCTTCAGGATGCAGCCTGGATCAGGGATGTAGCATCTTTGGGCTAATCAGAAAGAGAGTCATCCCGTCTCACACCAGATGCCCCACCTCACAGTGGGCTCTGGCAATTCGACCCTAAATGCAAAACCACTTTGCTCTGGGGCCTGTCCTGGTTCCCTGACACTGTTTTCTACATCCTATAAGCAGCTCACTACTGGACCGAACTCTTCCTAGAACCTATACCTGCATTTCCAACAAGCCTGAACTTTGCAGATTAACCTGTCTCCCATGGTTATCTTCCATGGCAAGCACAAGTCAATTGTCATACACTTAAGGAAGTCACCTCAGGGCAAAGATGAGGGTGACAGTCAGAGAGAGTGTGGAAAACAGGGCAGGGGTGGGGTACTCTGAGTAGCGAGTGGGGAGGAGGGGATCCTCTATCTAAAAATAGCAGGACACACATACCACTGGCCCTTTGCTGGGTGGCCTGGGCCACATAACCATGGAAACAAGGCTGGGCTCTGTAAACATGAACCATTCCTCAAAATGGGCCAAGATCAACCCAGGGGAACTGCCAACTCTCTCCACCCAAAAGAGGTACTAAGACACCTCCAAAACCTTTGGGAATTGGTAGGGGTGGTAAGGGACATCAAAGAGGCTAAAGACGAAGAGTCACTGGCCTGAAAACTGGGGTGGTGGTTCTCAGAGGACATAGTAGAATAAGTCACCACAGAGTAAAAGGCCAGCAAGGATGTCAAGATGTAACTTACTGAGCTGTGTCCAAGCTGGGTGAGCAGACCAGTCCTTTAGGTTTCAGGGAGTCAAACCAGGAGTGGTACCTGATGCATGGAAGGACCAAGGCCTCCCATCCAGCCCCAGGACTTGCTGTGGTCCAAGGTACTCACCTGGGTTGGGGGCACAGCGGGGGTGACATTCCCGGACCCCGGGTAGGCTGGGTAGCTGGGCACTGGCTGCTGTTGTTGGGCAGAGGGGGGTACGGGTGGCTGCCCAGGGTAGGTCATTGGTGGCTGCCCAGGGTAGGCCCCAGGAGGCTGCTGTCCAGGAGGTGGCATGGGCTGGCCTGGCACAGGGCCCCCAGGGTATGCTGGGTATGAAGGCATCCCAGAGGGTGGATTTCCTCCAGGAGGGGGGTACATTCCATATGGAGGCATGGGCTGCTGGGCAGAGGGGGGCTGCCCAAAGCCCCCAGGGGGCACTGGAGGGTAGCTACTCCCGGGGGCCCCTGGGAACAGGTTTGGCATGTTGGCTCCTCCAAAAGTCCCCGACATGTTGGCTGCCTGAAAACAGACAAAGCAGGATCTGAGACTAGAGCCCCCTACAATGTACAGACAATAAAATGGGTGCAAGGGGTGGGTGTCACTGGTTTATGGCGGGCTTGGAAAACATAAGAACCATAGCCCAAGGCATGTGAGTCTTATCCACAGACTTCAAGTGGCCCCACCAGTGTATGGCAAGTGGCCCTGGGTTGCTCACTGTAGCAACCCAGGAGGAGAGGGTCAGGTGGCTATGCTTCTATCACCTTTCTTGTCCACACCACACAAACCCAGAGGAATTGTGGAAATGCTGGCAACAGTCTCTAATAGGCCCAAGATATGGACCTTGGCCTAGTATGCCCTGAGGCCACACTGGCTTTGGGAAGATTGCTGTAGGCTTGGGTGTGTCTCTCTACACAGTACCCTTCCCTGGGCATTTTGACAGCTCACTTCCTCTGTCCTTTGCTCCAGTGTCATCTCTTCAGCTATGTCCCCATCCTGCACCCCTGACCCAACAACCTGACTTTTTCCCTCACAGCAATAATATTGTTTCTTAAGTCAATTATGTGTTTCTTTCTGTCAAATATTGATCTAAAGCTAAGCACTCCTTTGAAAACTCTATACAATAGAACACACTTAGGTCAGACTAGCAGATATGGCACCAGAGCATCTTCGGAGGCTGAGTATTCTTGTTGGGAATCTTAAAGAAGAGAAACAGTTGCAAACAGACCCTAATGATTGGAATGTGGAATGTGAAAAGTATGAATGTAAGAAATTGGAGATTGTTAAGAAAAAAAGAGAATGCATAAATATTGACATACTAGGCACTGGTGAAATGAAATGGATTAGCATGGATTCTGAATCAATCAAGTGATATACTATGCTGGAAATGAAAAGGTGAGGAAAAAAATGGGTTGCAGTGATAGTTAAAATGACCATTTCTAAATCCATCTTGAAAAAGTGTTGTGAGTGACAGGACAAAATGCACACTCATACAAGAAGACCTGTTAATACCACTAGCATTCAAACTTACGCACCAACAATCAGAGGCAAAGAGGTGGAAATAGATGACTTCTACCAACTGTTGCAACTGGATATTGATCAAATATGCAACCAAGATATATTAGTAATAATGGCTGACTGGAATGCAAAAGTTGGGAAGAAGGATCATAGTTGGGAAGCATGGACTTGTTAATAGAAATTAGCTGGAGAATTCTGTGCAATCAATGATTTATTCATTGCAAATACCTTTTCTTAGAAATACAAACAACAACTATACAGTTGGATCTCACCTACCTGACAGCCTACATAGGAATCAGATTATATGGGAAGAATCATTGGTGAAGCTCAATACCAACTGTGAAAACTAAACCAGGAGCAGATTGTGGAACACACCATCAACTACTCAAATGCAAGTTCAAATTGAAGCTAAAGAAAATAAAATCAAATCCACAAGAACCAAAGTATGGCCTTGAGTCTATGCCTCCTGAATTTAAAGATCATCTCAGGAACAGGTTTGAGGCTTTGAATATTAATGAGCGAAGACCAGATGAGCTGTGGGAGGATATCAAGAATAAGAGAAGACCAAAATGCATGTCAGAACAGACTGAATATTGCACTAGAGTACTGAGAAGCCAAAGCAAAGGGAAGAAATCAAGATGTTAGGGAGCTGAACAGAAGATTTTTAAAGGGCAGCACAAGAAGACAAAGCAAAGTATTATAACGCAGAGCTGGTTTTGGAAAATCAAAAGGGATGAATTCATTTCATATTTCTTACACTGAAGAAACAGATAAATCCAAGCCTTGAGCTACAATATTTAAGGATGGCAGAATGCTGAATGACCCAGGAAGCATCAAAAGAAGATAGAGTACACAGAGTCTCTATACCAAAAGGAATTGGTTGACACAGAAAAATTTCACGAAACTGTTAATTCTTTGCACCAGATGTAAAGCCAAGGACTCAAGAAAGGGACCAGAAAGCAAGCTTAAAGATAGCTTTATTAAGGGAGTTCCTAAGTGAGGTTCCTTGGTCCAGAAGGGGAGGCCAAGGAAGTGGCACTTAGGGTTTATTTGGGTGGGTTTTTATAGCAGGCCCTTCAGGGAAGGGGAAAGGGAGGGAGGGACATTCCATTGCGGTTTATGGTTCATCCAGGTATGTGAGGCCATCACATTCTTTTAATTCCTCACACCACCACCACCACCCCTGCCCCCACCCCTTAACAGAAACAACATATGATCAAGAACATATGTTTATGAAGGAAGAAGTTAAAACTACTCTGAAAGAACTGGTAAAAAACAAGCCCCCAGGAACTGATGGTATACTAATTAACATATTTCAACAAATAGCTGCTTTTGACACGCTCAGGTGGCTGTACCAAGAAATCTAAAGGACCACCACTTGACCAAGTGACTAGAAGAGATCCATATTTGTCCCTGTTCCTAAAAAAGGTGACACAACAGAGTGCGGAAATTATCGAATAATATCATTAATATCATATCCACTCAAGAGCCTGCTGAAGATTATTCAAAAACAACTAGCACATCAACAGAGAACTGCCAAATGTACAGTCTGGGTTTAGAAGAAGCCATGGTACTAGGGATATTATAGCTAATGTTAGACGGATCTTGGCTGAAAGCAGGAAGTACTAGTGGAATGTCTATCTGTGCTTCATTGACTATGCAAAGGCATTTGCATTTGACTGGATCACAATAAACTAAGGCTAACTCTGACAAGAATGGGAATCCCAGAACACTTGATTGTGCTTATATGAAACCTATACTTGGACCAGGAGGCAGAACAGAACAAGGAAATACTGCATGGTTCAAAATCAGGAAAGGTCGGGATGCATCCTATCTCTATACTTTTTCAATATATATGTGGAACAGATCATCCAGGAGGCTGAGCTCTATGAGGAGGAATGTGGCATCAGGATTGGAAGACTCATCAACAAAGTTGTTGAGTATACAGATGATACAAACTTGCTTGCCAAAACTGAGGAAGACTGAGGAGGCATTTGCTGCAGAAGGTATGGCCTGACAAAAGATTCGAACCACAGGGCCAATTGGCAGCATCATGACAGATGGTGAAGAGACTGAGATTGTTAACAGGTACAGCTTGCTTGGCTCCACACTCAACACTCTTTGGAAATGATGGGAAAATCTGCTGTCAAGGATTTCTCCAGAGTAGATAAGAGCAATGATGTCCGTCTGGAGCCCAAGGTGCACCTAATCCAGGCATGGTCTTTGCAATCACTTGCTATGCATCAGAGAGCTCAACAATGACTAGGGATTATAGAAGAAAAAATCAGTGTCTTTGAGTTGTGGTTCTGGAGAACAGTATTGAATATACCATGGGCTGCTAAAAGAACAAACACATTCATCTAGGAGAGGGTGAAACCAGGCTGCTCCTTGGAGGCAAAAATTCTGAAATGCCATCTGACATACACAGGGCATGTTGCAAAGAGGGACCAGTCCTTGGAGAGGGACATCATGCTTGGAAGGGTGGAGGAACATCACAAAAGGAAGACTCTGGATGAGATGGAATGACTCAGTGACTGGGGAAGTAGGTGTGTCAGAGACAATGAAGTTGGCTCAAGACAGGTCTGTTGTATGTAAGGTCCCTATGAGTCACAAACGACTCGACAGCACATAACAACCACGCATCCCCTAGTAGCAGTCCTCAGAAGCAGGCCTGGCACATACTAGGTTGTTTATTGGTTATATTTAGTACACAGTTATTTTCATATAATAAAATATTTTAAAAGTAAAACCACAAATGCAAGTAGCATGTGTGCATACTACCTGTCGGTATTCAGTCCAGCCTAATGAGTATAATCACACACACACACACACACACACACACACACAAACACGAATTCATGCATTCATCCCACCTGACTCCTGCCCACACAGACACCAGCCCCATGCTGAACTCATATATAAAGTGCTCAATACATACAGAAACCTGAGACACGATCAATTCAGTGCATTCCTCTTTTTATAGATGAAAAACCTGAGCCAGAGGAATAGTGAAAGGTGGCAGAACACTTGTGGCCAGAGATGCTGCTCAGGGTCCCTCACACCTTCAGGGGGACAGACAGTTTTGGAAGCCAGTAGCTGCCCATGTAGACCTGGCCCCAGGCAGGAAGTAGACTCACCATTCCTGAGAGGTAGTCCTGGTTGAACTGTCCTGTGTAGTTGGCCACATTATCCAGCCCGATGGGGGGCATGCTGGGCGGAGGGTAGGCAGCACCCCCCCAGGCACCACCACCTGAAAGCAACAGCAAGCCCTTTAGCTCCTTGCGTCTCCCCCGCCCCCGTAGTGGCAGGCAAAGGTGCTGGACCCTGGACATCAGAAGCAGAGGTCTTGTGGGGCCCCTGGAGACAATACTGCAGCCCACACGTGGAGTGCTTATGTGGGATGATCTAACACCACCTCACTGTTTGAGGGAGAGAGCAGGAAACTTCTTTATGAGAGCCGGTAAAAGAGCAGAACTGATGATCACGCAGCTTGGGGACCTACACCAAGCCAGAAAATTCAGTAGCGAAGAAATAGCTTTGCAAGGAGGAGGTCTGGAGTGGGGGAGAAGTGTGTGTCACTAGGACCCACCCTCACATTTGTAGGCAAGGAAGAAACAGACGCAGAATGGAACAGGACAGTGGCTTGGTCATTGTGGCTGTTTGCCGGCAAATCAGTAAAAGGCAGGGAAGGCTCAGAGCGATGGTAATTAATTATATAAAATACAATGTAAATAAATGACTTCATGTACAAAACATGATGTATATGAATGATTATATGCAAACCAATAAAAAATTTTAAGAAAGAAAGAAGGCAGGGCAGGAGGACAGAGGGATATAAGGGATACCCAGACACAGTTGTTAGTTGAGTAGCTGGTCTCTGAGACCACCAGAATCTACAACTGGACATCTGTGTGCTGGGCCAGGCCTTCAACGAGCCTAGGCTCAGCGCCCTCGGTCAGCTAGTGGTGAAAGTGAACTCCTGGAGCTGTGAAGAGGACTGGTGGGTGGACAACATGCCAGAATGGTCCTTCAGCTGTAAGCAGGCTCCTCCCAAGGCCACAGCCATCACCCTGAAGCTGCGGTGACAGGCACTCCTATTCACAGCAGGGACAGGAGCTGAGGCACTGGTGCTTCAGCTCTGAGCTCTAGGATGCTCTGGACAAGTCCTTCTCTAAGTCACTGCCTACCCATGTCTGACGCTAAGGGGCTGCCCTCCTGAGCCGGTGAAGGGTGGCAGCAGTATGATTTCTAACAAAAGAGGAAAGGATGGGGAGGGGGATTTGCTCAGAGAAGCCTGATGAGCCAGAAATGTTGCACCAACCTCTCGCTTCGGGTCTGCTTGACCTGTCAAAAGGGCAAGGTGGCCCAGGATCTCTGTGTGAGAGGGCAACTGTCACTCAGGCCCACTCAGGAAGACCAACCTTGCAGTGGCCCCTGTTCTCCTGGTGTCACCTCAGGACCATGGTCTCTCCCACTATGAGATCAGATCTCATTTCTGGAAACTCAGAAGTGGCCAGAGCCAGATGCTGTCTCCATATAAGAAGTGCTGACACGGAGAACGTGTCTGCTCACCTGCTGCACTGGGCAGCGACTGTGAGTAGCGTGTGACCCTGAGGGGCTGAATCTATGAGACAGCTTCAATCAGCCTCAACGTCTTCTTGGGGCATGGAGAAGCTGCTGTAATGCCAAACATCTCAAGCACAGGGCAGCTGGGGTGACGAGGGCAATGTCACTTAACAGTGCTTCAGAAGACAGTGCTCAAGAGCTTCCTGCTCATGACAGCCAGTGAGGACGGGATCCATGAAATCATCTCAGATACTAACAGAACTCTGGGGCCCAATGGGAAAGAAGTTGTGCTGTCAACCCAAAGGCAGGTGGTTCAAATCTTCAGAGTTGCTGCTATGGATCATTGAGTCAGAACTGACCCAACATTTTTAACAACTCATAATTCTGACATTCAGAGGCAATAAACCTCTCAAGAGGAAACAGCCCATCTTTCTTCCACAGTGAATTTGAACTGCATACTTTTGCAATGGCAGCACAATTCTTTACCACTAAGCCATTAGAGTTTCCAGCTCCCCAGGAAAAAGATGGGCAATCTCCTCCTCTGTGATTTACTGCCTCTGAAAACCCTCTGGAGATGGTCAGCTATGAGTGGGTTCCAACTTAACAGCAATGAATTAATAACCAGTTACTAGGTAATCCAGAACCAGCTTCCAGGTGCCTTTTCTGGCCACATGCCCATTCAACTTTCACCCCCACCTGGCTCTTCCTCCCCTTCTCCAACTGGAGGTACATGAGGAGTGAAAACACTATTCTCCTCTCAACACTGCCCACTCTGAGCAGACCTACACTCGCTCCCTACATCAGACCCTCTTACCTGGTACAGGTGGAGGGTAGCCACCAGCAGGAGGGGGATAGCCTGGGTAACTCATAGCTGGATCTGAAAAGCAAGAGAAAAACATCTATGAGATATCATCTCACCCCAGCAACAATAGCAAACAACAAATGTTGGCACGGATGTAGAAATATTAGAACTTTTATTCACTGCTGGTGGGAATGTAAAATGGTGCAACTGCTATGGAAGGTGGTACAGAGAGTTCTCAAAAAGTTTGAAATAGAAATACTGTTTGATCCAGCAATTCCACTACTGGGAATATACCCTAAAGAAACCAGAGCCATGGCTCAAACAGATGTATCCACATCCATGTTTATTGCCGCATTTTTCACAATAGCAAAGAGATGGAATCAACCCAAGTGCCCATGAACAAATGGATAAAAAAAAAAAAATTATGGTGTATTCACACAATGGAATATTACACAGCATTGAGAAACAATGAACTTGTAAAACATTACACTACATGGTGAGCCTGGAGAACATCATGCCAAGTGTAATATCTCAATCACAAAAGGATAAATATTGCATAACACTGCTGTTATACAATAGGATAGACATAGGGGCGAGGTTGAGAAGAGAATGGGAAAGAGAGTGAATAGATAATCAAAGATTCTCATCACTGGACTAATTGGCAGCACCATGATAGATAGAGAAGAGATTAAGGTTGTTAGCAATTTCAACTTGCTTGACTCTACAATCAACACTGTTGGCACCAACAGCCAGGAACTCAAAAGACAAATTGCACTGGCGAAGTCTGCTCTCAGCGACCTCTCCAGAGTGCTGAGAAGCAATAATATCAGTTTAGAGACTAAGGTGCGCCTGATCCAGATCTTCACAATTACTTGCTATGCATCAGAGAGACGGACAATGACTACGGATGACAGAAGAAGAGTCAATGCCTTCAAATTTTGGTGCTGGAGAAGAGTCTTGAACATACCATGGACTGCCAAGAAAAATAAATCAGTCTATCTTTCAGAGGGTGAAACCAAGTTTCTTCTTGGAGGCTAGAAGTTTGAAGCTCCATCTCATATACTTTGGGCACATTGCAAGGAGGGTCCAGTCCTTGGAGAAGAACATTATGCTTAAAAGGGTGGAGGGACAGCACAGGAGAGGAAGACCCCAGATGAGAGGGATTAACACAACTGGGGCAATGGGATTATATGTGTCAGAGACTAGCTCACGACAGGGCAAAGTTCAGTGCTGTCATACATAGGGTCACTAGGAGTTGCAGGTGACTAGACAGCACATAAAAACAACAGCAGTAGCACTGTACACTTTCGGTGGATTGTATGGTGTGAGATTACATTTCAGTAAAGCTGTGAAAAATTTAAAAAAAAGAAGAAAAGCAAGAAGTGCAGTCAGTCTCCCCTGGTAGTCCTCATTAGCCCTTATCCTCGGACACCAGATTTTTTAAAAGGGAAGCAGTGACCACCAGGGCATTGCAGGAGGTGGCCCAACAGGCCTGACCGGGACATAATATACAACCTCCACTTGCTGGGCCTGCAGCTAAGAAACAAGAAATAGCAGCTCCTCGCATGTACCTGTCAGCCTGCAGCTCTGTGAAAACCACTTCCTCCCAGGTTTCACTCTTTTGTTTCACTCTTCTGCACTAACACCTAACTGACAGATGCCGGGGTCCCAACCTACCCTCCAGTGGAGGAGCCAGCTCTGGAGTAGAGCAGGTGGTTAGCACACCCAGCTGGTACAAGCCCACCCAAAGGAACGTTGATAGAAAGGCCTGGGATCTGCGTCTGAAAACTCACCACCATAGAACATAATTCCACTCTGACCCACCGGGACTCCGTGAGTGTCCCTCCCTCATCGACTTGATGGCAACATCAACTTTGCCTCTGGAAACAGAATACGCTGAGTGCTGTCTCCCTGTGCCCTAACCACAGACCCCAAGCCACCCACAAAGGCTACCAACCCAGACCTGCCTGAAGCTACATCTTTCATTTTCCAGCCTCTCAATTATCTGGCCAAGGTGCCCAATAAGGTATGGGATCGCTGCTCTCAGAAATAAGAAGGCTTCTTCTGAGTCTAGAACTGGAGGAGATGAGAGAGCATCACCTGTGACTAGAGATGAGCCTGCAAGCTGCACACCCATCAGGGGGGACCCTCAGCTGCTGGTTCCCTGTGGAGCGCTCGCTCCCATAAAGCCCGTATTCATGCAGATCTCCTTGTACCATCCTATACCAACTCAACTGCCCAGGAGGAACACAGATTCGCTGCCACCAGCTTCACTGCATGGAGGCTGCCATGCCTACTCCTCTTGCTAGTTTGCTGCTGTGGTTTAGAAGGCACCTGAGAGCTGTTAAAAACAAAACAAACCTGGAGGTTCCTGAAAAATCACACCTGCTAACTCAGGTGAATGGCCTCTTGTGCCTGAGCCCTTAAACCAAGTAGCTGAGACCAGGCGTTCCCACCTTCTGTAGATCATAATCACATTTACACTCCAGGGCCTTGTTAAACCACTTGCTGGGCACCAACTCAGAATTTGAATCAGTAAAACCAGAATTTGTACTTCTAACAAGTTCTCAGGTGACGCTGGGAGTGTGGGGTCAGGGCCACACTGTGAGGACCACTTCTCTAGACACCTCTGTTTATATATCGTCAACATCTACACTGGGGAACAAGGCCTGTGTTTGTGAACTGAAGGACTACCTGAAGGTACCACTGGCCCCACAGGGTGGACCTCGTTCTTAAGGCTCTGGCCGTGGTCATTTGTTTGGTCAGTGAGTTTAGAAGTGACTGGACACGCAGACCAAAAAAGGTGAGTGACTTATGTAAAAATGAATGAGGTTTGGTTTTTGTGTTGTTTTTTTTTTTTAAAAAAAAGAGTGAATGGGGGTGGGGGGATTGGGAAGAAAACGTGCAACAATGAAAATCCAACTTTTCTGAAAACTTTCGTTAAAAATCACAATTTAAAAAAAAAACAACCCAACAAACAAACAAAAAGGTAAGTGGCACAATAGCTTGCTCTCAGCTGCTAACCTATAGGCTGGTGACGTGAATTCATTCGGTTGTGAATGAAAGGCCAGGCTGGCATTTGCTGCCACAAAGAAACAGTCAAGGAAATGACTATGTTGTGCTTCTAGGCTGTAACACACAGGTCGTCATAAGCTGGAATTCATTTAGGTCAATGAATTTTTTTCCTTCAGGGTGGACATGACACCCACCGCCTCACACAGCTTAGTCTTTCTAAATCTCATGTGGGGTGTGAGGTACCGGCAGGTCTGACTCATCCCCCTGTGATTGTGACTCTCAGCAGAAGGTTCAACAAGTTCCTGTTCTCGGCTAGACTTTTCTGCCCACTTTCTGTCAGAACCAGAACTTTACTGGTGCTAAGGGAGCCTGAGGGTTCTAAAAGCTGGGGGTAGGCCCTTCTGCGGGGAGAGAGGGACAGCTGTGAGGCCAGCAGTGTTCCTGACATTTCCCCTGGGACAGGGCCATGAAGCCTCATGCCTGGTCTCCTTTCAGAAGACAAGTAAATAACAAACAACAAAGCTGAATTACTGGTAAGGAATTGCAACAGCCAATCCAGAGGCACACAAATCAAATTCACCACCTGCTCTGCCGAGAGAAAGCTGGGCAATCTCCTGAGTCCTGAGCTGGCCTCTGAACACCCGGAGGGGCTCTGCTCTGAGTTAGTCTGACTGACAGCAAACACCATAACTGCACCCAAGTTCTTCTATTAGATAATCTGATATAAATTAACTTAATTAGAGATAAGAAATTGCCTCCAGCCCCAAAGACATGAGAAACAAGCAAAATGCCATAAAGATAAATGACAGTCTTAGAGAAAATGTTTTATGGTCTCCTCCTCCCCTAATAAAAAGCTCTTTAAAGAGAAGTCATTAAGAAAGAGACCAACATCCTAGAGAAATTACCAAATGACAGACAATCACAGAACAGGAACTATAGTCCACTTTCACTACTATACTAAGAGAACTACTGACTTGAAAATACAGGAATGGTTGCAACACCTCCATGATACATCTTCAAGGATATGAACATGTACGGCTAAGCACAATTAATAACAGTGCATCTAAATTCCAAAATCAATCTCCATAATAGTCTATGTGTTTCCTACTGCCAAAGGGACCCTTTAGAGTAGTGAGAGATCTTCACCCTGAAACCCACAGTGTCCCTTTTCAGCAGGAAGTAGCTAAGAGAATACGCCATCCCCTTTTCCTTATGAATCAGGGTGAAGTCTCTCTCAGGGAGGAGTGATAGGGAATGGCAAAGGACACACTGACAAAGGAGATTAATCAGAACTGGCTTTGACAAGCACTATGGCAAATGGACAATTAAAACAGACATTCGGGGAGGGGGAAGAAGAACGAACTGGGGAGGAGGGTAGAGAAAACAGTGCAACAATGAATGAATGAGAACCCAAAATCTCTGTAAATGTTCATTAAAACTAATAAAATTTTAAAAAAAAAATACAGGAATGTCACATTTCATTTATTAAAACTGGGAAAATCTACATGTTGAGAATGTATTCCATTGGCATGAGAATGAGAAAGCAGGTCTGGGGACTGAGGAACATTCTGGAAAAGTTAAGAAAGCACACAGCCTTGACCCAGCAATTCTACTTGCAGAAATTTACCTCCCAGGTGCACTCAACAGCTGAGTGGATGGCATTTGGACAGAGACGGTGTTTATGAAGCTGGTAACAGAAAAATAAGACGGGTCCATACAATGAATGGGTACCAACTTGGAAACCATGTGAAAATATGTAAGAAACTTGACAACTTAGCAAAAAGGGCAATCATATAATAAGCAAACAACTTAGATATTTAACCAAAGAGGACATGCAAAATGTCCATGAAAAGATAATCAGTATAATTAGCCATCACAGAGATGCAAATCAAAATCACAATCATCACACTCCTACTGTTGTTAGATGCCACTGAGTCACCTACAACTGACAGCAACTGTCCTGCACACCCTCAGGGTCACCGCCATGCCCACTGTTAGTCACTGTGTCAAACCACCTCCTTGAGGGCTTTCCGCTTTCTCTGATCCTCTCTTTCCAA